TGTCCCTTAGCCATGTAAAATCTCCTCATTATTCATACCGTCAGACTCAATGCAGTCTAGAAGGAGTCTAAGGACACTTGGACCAGATCTGTACCTGAGTTGCTGTTCACCGGCTTTAGAAACGTCTACCCCTCTATGACGAAATATTCGAGAAAAACACGGCAGCCTCTTAGTTACTGCTCCACTCCGTTTAATGATTTTTTTTGTGTCAATATTGGAGTAGTACCCTGAATGATCGGGTCACTACTACGAAGTGGGGGTTCATCCATCTCTGACCAGATGAATTTTCACAGGGAAAACAAATTCTAATTATTCTCCGGTAGCCCGATTTTTTCCCCTCCTATTGATTAGTCGTTGTCATTTGGAAGATTGATAGCCAAGATGCTATCATCCAATACATCCATAACAACCCAATCGCCCAACAACAAGCTCGAGAAAGGGAGGATGGGGGAAAGACATGTAAGGTACAAACAAATCTCATGATGGTATGCTGTCCAATACATACCTGGTCACAATATCGCAAAAATAGCCCCTCCAACGCTATTCGTTCTTCTAGAAATGTCATGCCCTTGAAGGGAGAAGAATCCTTTCATCTGACGAATAAACGATCGACGTGGCTATAGTGGAACCCAGGGATCGCCGTCTGTCCCTGTCGCAGTCGAATGATAGGGCCAGGATCTCTGAGTGTTGATGCACTAGTATTCGCTATCTGTGATTTTATGCATCTACGCCTACACAGGCAGGTACCAATCCTGGACCGTCCCGCGTCGATAGTGAAGAGCGAAGCACAAGGAACCTTCTTAGAAGCTGTTTGCGGAGGGGTAAACAAGAAGAGCAAGGTGGATGGAGACCCGAGGTGTACTATGTCATGAAGCACTCCACTTCGGAAACTCTGAGGTTACACTCCGTCGAGAGAACATACTAGTAGTAAATGTACATACATATCCAACTGCCTGATGCGATTAGGTGCCTCAGGTGCTGATTCATTAGCTGGAGAGGTGCAGTGTGATCTGATCTCGTATTTTGTGCTCATTGGTAGAACCTAGGTCCATATGACGGGGTCGATATACCTACCTAAGAAGTAGATGATTTGTACAATGACCTAGAGACAATCAGTGCGCAAGAGTTTCTCCAGACAATGTGTAAACGCTCGGATACCGATCGACCTAAACAAGAAAGCAGGTAGCAGCACCACTATTCCCTCAGAAAGCTGAACCTACGACAGCAAATCATTCTCAAGTGCCCAATACCAGTCTCTGCCTTACTCTGATCCCTGTAGACGGTGAGTGAGTCAAAGACTGCTCAAACATCGGATTCAGACTCCGAATTCGTGTGAGAACATCTCGAATGCAAGAGCTCTCGAGAACTGATGCAAAAGGCTGGCTGTGCCTGGCCAGGCTCCGCGACGCCCCATGCTGACCACCATGTCGGATACATACTACACGCTCTTTTGGGGCCATCTTCATGCTTAGCAGCTTCGTTAAGGTTCCGAGACGCAAGCCAGCCCGTTTCAAGTGGCACAACGTTTTCTCACTTCGATGCTCATGGCTACATTTGGAAATCTGCTACCTTGCACTTGGGTATCTCGGGCGAGCGCCTCCGTCAGCCACTTCCACCGCGCCAGATTTATCTGGTTCTTGCGGTGCTGGTAAGGCACACGACAATTCAGCCATAACTCCTACAGTTCTCTGAGCAAGATATCGGTCGATGACGCGTCAACCCATGTTGCGGCCTTGATTCTTCTCCGGGCAGAGAGAAAGCCTTGGGCTGGACAAGGTTTCAGAGATCAGAGGGATCGTGTTTGATCACGTAGGCCTTTGTTTATTAATGGATTAGGATGATAGGGTGCGCTCAGGCCTTATGCCAGAACCTAGATTGGTCGGTTGTCTACGGAACATCCTCTGTCAGAGTGCCAGCCTTGTGGCCTGACATCAAAAGCGACAGAATTGCAGCATCGAGCCACTTTAAAGGTGAAAATTGAGAGCCCAGTAAAAGTTCAGAGTAGAGGCAAATAAATCATGCCAGGTAGGCAGAAATACGAAAGAAATCCAAAGATAGTATCATCACCATGATTTGTCGTTGTTGATGGTACAAGAAACCTGAATCATAACCCCGCAGGTCATGTGCGAAGACGCACAGAAGGTCAAAGTCACAACCTCAGCTGAAGTATCTGCCTGTGTTAGTAGTAGTAATGTTGGCCGGCACAGCAGAGATTACATCATGTATTTACTTGAGTGGTGTACTGGTGTACTAGTCATGATATCCAGAACCAAGTTCCCTCAGAATTCAGAAACCCTCCATTTGGATCATGATTTATCAACTTTGTTTCTTGCCGAAACAACCTACAAATTTCTTTATGGCCACAATAATCTTACAGTAAATTAATGACAGCGAGTCATGTATTCAGTGTCCGAAAATGTGAGGAGGTTAATTACTAGACTAGGGTCCGAAATTTCTCCGCGAACTGTTCAACACCGAAGCGCTCTCAACCCGTTACCCGTTGAGGAATTTATCGGCTGTCTCCTAAATTTAGCGTGCTCGGAGATTACCTCTTGAATAGTTACCAGTCTAAACTTCGAGTTGCAAGTGTACCAGAATATCAGGTTGGAACTATGTGAGCAAGTGCAAGGTAGACCCCTTTACATGAACTCGTACTGCACTTTCCTTCTGTGTCATGTGGATCAATTCGTTCGTCGGCTCCTAGAGTTTTCATAGGCAACTACCCCTATTCCACAGCACACTATATCGCGTCGCTGAGCCATGCTAAAAAGTACCACAGATGATGAACCACAGGATAGAGCCATTGAATTTTGTAAAGTTAGCGTAGTCCGTGGCATCATGCCAACAACAATCTTCTCCAACATGTTATTCGACTACACAAAGAGCAGGATGCTATACAATGCACCTGTATCGCCGCTTGGGGTACTATCATTGGTACTGGAGCTACATTCCACTTGAGATTATCATTCAAATACCCCCAATCGTAGATGAAAGAAATAGCAAGAAGGGGTAAAGGCAAACGGAGACAAAGAATAGGCTTAGGCTTGCGAAAGTGTGTGAACACTATTGTATATAGTCGCAAGCCTTAACCCATCTATTTAAATAGGTAACAAAGACGGAAGGTGGGCATCAACCCCCCTAGATTACGGAACATTCTCAACATTCTTAAACATCTATAGTTGTGGGTTCTCTCCTCATAGCCAAACGTCAAAGACATTCTACAAGCATCGAACACATCTTCTCCAGTCATTTAAGTACAACGGAGCATGGCAGTATCTGAAGAGCCATGATCAACCCAAGAATCGAGAAATGTAGCAGTCCTATTCAGTACCATCTCTAAGTACGGAGTATACAAAGATAACCTACCGTCAACTTCCCAGAAGTGAAGTCCTCATACATTTAGTTTATGGACTAGTTATCGCATTCCTCTACGCTCTTTATCGATGCCGGGACCGAGAAATCCATTGTTGAAAGTTTCAACTGACTGCAATACAATCCGCTCAAATTTCACTAGTTCAGATCTACTCTCTTCCCAGCACAGATGATGGGTCCTGTATATTAAGTGGTCACTGTAGATCTATACTACACAAGATCAGATGTGATAATCCCTTCTAATATTTGCTTCTATATTAGCCCCACTATCCATTTTCTCAGCCTGGAATATAGCGCACTTAATCAAAGTCCAATATTAACAGTTTAGCCACAGCTTTTATTGTCTACTGTTTTAGATACTATCCAATGAGTCTCCATACTATACATGGCTAGATCCCAAAGACTTCAGCAAGTTATCAAGTATGTAATAGCTTGATTATATTCATCGAAGGAACATAGAGCATAATCTTACCTAAATCAGGCATTCAATCAAGGACCTCTGACCAATAGCCCATCATTCAATGACGATTTTCTATGTATAATGTACCACGTATTTGGGTAGAGCGCAGTTATGCCAGCAGTTTATTATACCTTCTTAACGTTGGTAGATGATTGGTGCCTTTTCTGAGTTCCCAGAGTAGTTCTTGCGCTAAAACGTTGGAAGAGCTTGTTTATATGTGTGTCGACAGGAAGATTGGAAAATCAAATGAAAGGGCTGGAGAGTCTATCATCTGACGAGAAGAATACGGATTAGTCCTTTGCAAGATTGAGGTTAGTATTGAACCTAAGGCCTACGCTCTTGTCAATAAATGACTAGTATAGGTAACTACGAAGGTTTCATAGCCCTTGTCTGAGTTGTGAATATAGATTATGTACCTGTAAACTTTTCATGATTAAGAAACTGCTGGAGACAAATCCACGCCAGTAAAATGCATATGTGTTATGCTGAAGATCGTTGTGGCGGATCGATACATCATATCCTCCAAAAATATATGTTGGAGATAAATTGTACATACGGTAGGAAAACTATGCCAACGATCATCATCTGGTATTTGAAAATTCGGAATACTTTCCCACAAGCCTATAATAGACAAGCCATGTATTCTGCAGTGACCTCAAACTACCGTTGGTAACTTGGTTTCTGGAAGTGGGAAAAGGCCCAGCTGACGTCAGGTTGCCACTTTCGGGGCCCATTTATTCCCAAACGGCGGAGAGAGTGACTGGAGGCAAAGGACACTGACATAAGAAGGCTGCTGGTCTTTATATAATAACTATACCCCCTGCTCCAACCTATACTCTCTGTTTTCCCTCTTTTCCCTGTGCTAGCGAAGTAGATGAGAGATATATCAGCTGGAATATTTCCATATCCGGCACCTTGCCTACACGTGACTTCGCGTGGGCGGTCAACAGCCACGTCATAATCCGTTGCAGAAAACGGGTCAATTAATTTGAGGGGCTTCTTGGAGAAAGAAGAGAAACACCGGTGGAACGTGCTTCCACCCGTATGCTACTTTTCATCGTCCCCCCTGAATGATTATCACTATCTCCTCACTGAATCGTGAGCAACCTTAGCCCTTCGATCTAGAGGGCACTATTTTTCTTTTCATATTTTCCGATTACACTTCGCTATGTCCGATTCGACCCTTTATCTCTACACCTCCCTTACTGCGGGGTCGTCCCATATCGTCACCGCCACTGCACGATTGGAGACGATCCTCAAAGCCAACAAACTCCCTTTCCGCGCAATTGATGTAGCCACCGATGACGCAGCCCGGAAGCTTTGGGGTCGTCGCTCCAAGGGTAGGAAGTTGCCGGGCCTCGTGAAGTTCGGCACAGTCGTCGGTGTAAGTGGTCCCGTCCTTTCCTATATATGTCGTGGATTCTAGTTGTCGGGGGATGATGAGTGACGATCTTGTATGGCTGACGATTCTGGAACGGTATAGGATCTGGAAGAGATCGAAGAATGGAACGAATATGGTGAGCTGAGAATGCAGGTCAACAACGTGCAAGATTTTGGTGATAGTATCCCTGCTACGAGCACCATAATCGCTCAGCCTGAGTCCGGATCTGCTGTATCGACGCCCGCCTCAGAACCTTCGGTACCAAAGCAGAGTACCATCAAGATCCAGAACCCGCCCGCAAAGGAATCCCAGAAAGACGACTCCATCACGGTCGCTCTGCGCCAGGCTAGCGAGGAGGCCGCCGCCAAAGCTAAAGAGAGTAAGGCTGAGAAGGTGACCCCAGCTGCTGAGCAGAAGAAGCCCCTCCCTACAGCCGTCGAGGAGAAAAAGGAAGGAGGCGCAGATAGTGTACGTCGGAAATCATCGGTTGCTCCCGAGATCGTCGAGGGGGGCAACCCAAAGCGGCCACCTCTGGTGCCAGAGGTTGCCGCAGTGTCCTCTGCCAATTTTCATGCTGATAATGCCGAAGCACTAGGATTAGTTGAGCATCATCGTGGCTCCATCGTTTCTGCCACGTCCCCGGAGGAAAAAGCCAAGGTCGCTCAGGATATTCGTAAGTCGATTTCTGGCGGTCATGCGGAGATGTTGGAGTCGTTGCGCGACGACCAGGCGCAGAAAGCTGGTCAGGAGGAAACCGTTGATGAAGAGTCGGAAAGTGGCGAGGATGTCGAGGATGTTATGAATCGAAAGGCAAAGAAACCAGGCTCCAGTTGAACGGCCCATGATAGGTCTTCGTTGGACTCCCGCAGATTGCTTCATGATACGATGGACACGCCCGGCATTACTTTATTAGCCCTCTTACTTTCGGTTTTCTTTTCTTTTCTTTTCTTTTTTTCTACTACCCTGTAAAGATACCAGCGCATTGATATGAACCAATTTAATTCAAATTTCGTGAATATCAAAGATTTGTGTAGTTTTTATTTATCCTTCAGCCGTATTTACTAGTCTATGCAACACATCTCTAGGTACATACTCCAAACCCGATGTATCGGATATTACCGTATACCAACCCTTGCCCACCTTTTAAACCATCACATGGCATAAAGCCAAGACGAAAACGGAGATCAATAAAAAGCCCTTAGCGTGAGGAGAAAGGGAAAAATAGAAGAGAAGAAACGAAAAGAAAGCAATTACCGGCGATGCGCGATTAAAATATCATGTCACATGAAATATATAGTAAGAAAAATTACTTTTAAAGCTTGTGGTGTTTGTTAACAGCTTCGCGAAGCTTTGCGATGACGTCGGCAGGATCCTGGGCACCAAAAACCGCCGAACCAGCGACAATCACATTGGCTCCTGCTTCAGCGGCCTGGTCCACCGTCCCGAGCCCCAGTCCGCCATCAACCTCGATATTCAAATTAGGGTATCGCTCACGGAGAGCCTGCACCTTGGGCAGCTCAGAGGCCATGAATTTCTGACCGCCAAAGCCGGGGTACACGGTCATGACGAGGACCATCTGTGAAAAAAGGGCCGTTTAGCATGGATTATGCTTGCGAGGGTTTCTTTTATGTAAGAATGATGTTACTTACATCTGGGCGTTCTTTTTCGTCTTCGCTCTCGAGGATCTCCCACAGTACGTCCACCGGTGTGTCAGGCTTGATAGCAATACCGGCTTGCATGCCCTCCTCGTGGATATATCGGATTAGTTCCTTCGGGCTCGTCTTGCGAGTGGTTGTCGAGTCGGCAGGCTCGGTCGCTGCGACGGAAGCTATGGCGGCTTCGTAGTGGAAACAGTAGAGGTCGCATCCGGCGTTCTTGAACTCCTTGACCCATTTATGTGGCTAGATATAAAACATGGTACAGTCAGCCGGGCGCTTTTCGAAGTTGTGCGGAATGATCGGAAAGCTTAAAATATGATGTGCGAAAACGGCGCGGGGTGTTGAAGGTTCAGGAGAGGTATCTCTCACCTCCATGATCATCATATGGCAGTCAAAGGTGCCCCGGCCATGAGGCTGGGTTGGACGGTCGACATGAGACCGGATCTTGGTGACAACGGGAGCTCCGAAGGTGATGTTAGGAACGAAGTGGCCGTCCATGATGTCGACATGGAGCCAGTCTGAGCCCTGTGCCATCTTTGTGGAGCATTCACTTCCCAGAGTCGCGAAATCCGCGCTCAAGATGGACGGGGCAATGATCGCCGGCGGGGACATGATGTCTGAAAGTCTCAGAAGCTTGTATAAAGGAAAGGAAGCAATTGACGGGTATGGCGGGGGCGATGGTCAATGGGGAGGATAAGCTTCAGGGGACGATGGGGAGAGAAGACAGGTTATATACCTGTATCCGGAAAGGACTGTGTGGACAGCACAGGTATGGAGAAAGAGTGGATATGTGTACTCCATCAGAGGGCAGGCAAATGCCCATAAAAATTAATCACCGGCCATTGATATCACCGCCATTTACCGGTCGACGTCACTCCGAACAGCCAAATCAGGCAAGTTGGATGCTGGTGATAAGGCTAGGGCCAAGACTTTCACGTGGGATGCCCGGTGGGGTTGCATTAGGGGGAGCTTCAATGCCTGAACGGAGGTCGAGACTCAGGCCTGAACGGGATCACGGGAACCGGCTTCCCGCCATACTGAGATGCCGTCGACCAGTTTGGTGCTTTATTGGTAATCTCTCGACTTTGACTCAACACTGACTTGGATTAGTGCCAGTTCACCCCGGCGGCCTAATTTCCGATGAAGTGGTCGGCTGACCTGGTCGTACACCGTTAGTCAGCCAGTTGTTGAGCTGGTTGGGAACGGAATGACCACTTTTGTCTTTCCAGAGACTTGCCTGGTGATGAAAACAATGTCTGACAACCATACTTGCTACCTAACCGTCATTAATTAACCGCCTTTCCAAAATAACGTTGGGTGGGGAAAGCACGATCTACTGATTAATCAGAACACCCCTCGACAGGAGTTCTAAAGATAGACCGCCCGGCGCTTGTTGTTCACCAATCACACTCACCTTAACTACCAGTCACAAAGCATCATTCGTCGAGAGCCGTTCTCTGCACGCGCCCCCCACCTATTGGTGTGATATCTGTCCAGCGTGCTGGATGTCACTTCTGTTGTACCTCTCAGAGTGCTGGAAGTCCTTCAGGAGCGAAGCGCCGTCTTTACAGCAACCAATGGTAGCCTTTCTGAAAGGTTTATTTCCAAGGATCCCTGGCCTGTCGTGCGCAATAGTGCAGTAGTTTCTGCACGGATGATGGTTGGTGTGGACGACGTCTCCAGATCTTCCCCTCTTCTCCCTCAGACCTGGGTGTATTTATCAGAGCCATGCGCCACGGATCGATCGTGATCTTCACCTACTTCGTTGTGGTCATTTTACCTTAATTTTCTTTTTCCTTTTTGTTGGCTTTGAACATTTGTGCCTTCAGCTCTGTGAGCTAGGCCGTCCTTCGTTGTATCCTTTGCTTGCGCTGGTAGACCCGTTGATCGGCGTCGAACGCAGTTGAAATAATATACCCTTAGAACGTTTCGTTTTGGACAACATCGGCTTATGTTGTAATTCCTTATTCTTTCTCGAAGAAAAAGAAAAGAGCAACGCATACGGCAACATGACTGAGTTATTGCGCTCTGCAACAGCCAGATGTCCGCCTCCTCGGCAGGCCCGAGGGACGAGGCTTAATACCATAATTGAGGATTCTCGTGAGGGGGAATACTCGGAAACACCGCGTTACCGAGAGGCTCGCCCAAACAAGAATGCTTCTCAGCCACAGTTAAAATTGAAGACCAGTGGTCTGGCGCTGGCGTCTAGACTAAACCGCCTGCTGTCTCCCTTATCTGCTGGAACTACCTCCTCTTGCTCAGATACCGAATGGCAAAATCAAATGCAAACATTTGATGATCTGTATGATGCAACCGACGAGGAGTCAGAGATGAGTGATGAGTGCACTTCGATCTCGAGTACTCGCCCAACAAGTCTGCTGACCCCAACGACAAGAAATTCGATTTCGCCGACGAGTCGTAATCGCTATCCCAGTCTTACGATTCCCTCGTCAACAATATGGCCGTCTCTTCAGGGTGCCCCGAAAAGCTCACCAATTCCCCCAACGCCGCCCCCTAAGATCCCAGTCTCCCCGGCAGCTTTATCATTTCTTGGCCATTCCGTGCCGGCCGTGCATGCTCCTCCGTCGCTGGACGGCAGTGTGTCATCGGATCAAGTCTCCAATATTAGTGCTCCAGCTACTCCAGACGTCCAGTCACTTCCTGACAACGACTGGAATCCGCATGAAATCCTTGTCCGGCCGGACCTCGAAGATGAAGAAGATGCCGACCTTCAAAATCCAGAGACAAGCTCAGATCTACAAAGTATTGAAATCGCAATAGAGAATACCGAAGAGGATTGGCGACAGTTTCTCGGAAACTTCCCTCGAATTCCTGGCCAAGCGAGATCGCCACCCGTCGCTGACCCTGTGCGCGAAGATACTCCCTCTGACACAGGCGTGTTTCTCCCTGAAGATGCGTTGGCAATGTTGAGACACATTCCCCTGGATGTGACCCCGGATCCTTGGTCAGAGACTTCTGAAAGCAATGAAGAGATGTGGCAGATCGAAACACCAGAGCGACCACGCAGTGCTGACGATGCGACTCCCGCTTCAGACCTCTCTGGATATAGCTTCAGTAGACTCAGTATACCCTCCCTGGTGGCTTCTTTGCCTCCCTTGGTCCAAGAGCTCGTCACACTTGGTCGATTCCCAAGTTAAACAACATTCCTTCATCTGCGATAGCTGAGAGGTTTTACGATCTACCATTCACCAGGACCGAAGGGGAAATCGTTGAGCAGATCATTGAATGTCCTGAGAGGTCAATTGATGAACAGCTAACAGCTGTTTACGATCCAAGAGGACCCCCGACTGCGATCAGGATCCCTTCTGAGGACCCAGCGCCACATTTAGAACATGCAGAAAGTCCAGTTAGTGACGACGTCGATGGTGTGCATGAGATTGCAAGACCAGGCATGTACAATCCGGAGGAGCGAGATGAGAACTATGAAGATGAATTGCAAAAGAAGGCAATGGCAAGCCTAGACCGAACTAGCGTTTGGCTCGCAGCGCAGGCTTCGTATCTTGCTGCCCTGTGTGAAACGAATCCCGCCAATACCCCAGTAAGCGAAAGAGAAGACTGTATTGCAATCGCGGAGAGTGTGACACAAGCCGTAGCACAAGTCGTGTCCCAAAAGTCCGTACGATTTGACGAGACAGTTCCAGAAGCTCCCAGCTCCCAGCCTTCTGCCCTGGCAAGCAAGGACTCAATCTATTGGAGGGGGTTCCAGTCTATTCGGCGACGTGCTAGAAACACAGACACTTTCATGCACCGAACCATGCGCTTCGACGCCGTGCAATCTATTCGGCTGGGTCTGCCCAATACGCATACAAATTGTTTGTTGGGCAATTACGAAATAGTTCGTCCCGGACGGCCTCCTTACAGAGGTCCATTCTCCCAAGCACCCCGCGATTCAGTTGTGGGTTCCATCTTGGAGGAAAAAGCGCAGTTTTCCATGCTGGAGAAGGAGCAGTTAGTGCTTACCCAGATTAGTGAGCCTATGTGGGCCATGGAGGCCCTTCGATACCTCAATGGTGGTCGTCTGATTGCTAGTCCTGCTTTCAAACGACTTGCTAAGTCGAAGGCAGTCTCAACAGACCCTCAAAGATCTGGTTCACGTCGCATCAGAGTTCTGGATCTCGGGGGTCATGCTTCGTGTGAGTGGGCATGGCAGATCGCACACGACTACCCTAACGTCAAGGTTTACACCGTCTTCACCGAGCACCAGGCATTTAACCGTGGCATCAAAGGGCCCGCGAACCACCGTCAAATTTCCGTGCAAAATCTGTGGCAACTGCCATTCTCTAACAATAAGTTTGACGTGATCTCTACCCGTTCACTGCCAGCCCTATTGAAGAGCGAACGTAGCTCCGGTGACCAGCAAGACGAATATGAACTTTGCCTTCAAGAATGCCGTCGCTGCCTCAAGCCAGGTGGATACCTAGAATTCTTCGTGATGGATGCACAGATATCGCACGGAGGGCCTTACGCATCTGCCACCTCCGTTGAGTTCGCATACAACCTCAAGACGCGAGGCTACGACCCAACCCCTACGAAGAGCTTCCTCGGGCGTCTGCAGAAAGGTGGTTTTGTAGGGGTCAAACGAGCTTGGATGTTCTTGCCAATGGGAAACGAGCCGGCAGTCTCCCCTGTTCCCAGGGAGACACCCGAGCCTAGAGTCAAGAGCCACATCAGCGAATGTGAAGCGGTTCAGGGCCCGGTCGGCAGCACAGCTGACGCTGCAAGTGTCACTGGCCTGTTTGGTGGGTGGATTTGGGAACAATGGCTTCTCAAGTTGCAAATCGAGATGGGTCGGGAGCAGGGGAGGTTACTAGAAGGAATCGGAAGCGTTTTCGACGAGGGTCGCAAGAACGGAGCTGGTTGGACATGCTTGTCTGGTTGGGCGATGAAACCAAGACAGATGAAGCAACATGGACCCCAATAGAACCATGATAGGTAAAGGGTTCACTCACTCTTTCACCCCCTGTTTTTATCTCTATTTGGTCCTGTCCTTCGTTTGGTTCATGTATGTGAATGATACAAGTTAGCTATGATACCCATATACCGCCCTGGCGGCGAGCATTAATGTAATATACGAGATTGATTGATGCCCATTTTATGCGAAGGGATTTGAACAAGATGATTTTGTCCAGGCGCGTTGGGCAAATGCATGCATGAGACAGGAGAGCTCATAGCAGAACTATAGTATCCCAACAACACATGTGGAACGATAGAAAGCCACTACACTTGTTACCTGGAATCAGACACCTATGTAGAATTTTATTCGTTCGTTGACAGCCTCCCATCGGGAACGCTCTGGATAACATTGTTTGGTCATTGCTAGAGTGTCATGTAGTCACTTAAAGCCAGCTCGCTGAACACGAACGACAACAGTCCATTATCACGTGACACCCGACCGGAGCAGATTAGATTGCGACTGACAACATCACTTCAACGGTATTATATTCCCCCACCTTTACGGTCTCTCCATTATACCTTGAATTGCTCGCTGGGAAGTGCAGGGCAATTGTACTTTTCATCCACAAATATACCCCACGAGGCCATGCGATAAGTCTTGCAAACACCACAACCCCGCGCTCAATTACCCTCCCGCCGCAACCATGCTCTTCTTCAGGTATGCCGGCCCACGAGTGACAGGTCAAGCAAAAGAGCGAAGCTTCTCTAACACAGTACAGTTTCTTCAAGACCCTCACAAACCAAACCGTGATTATTGAGCTCAAAAACGACATTCGTATCCGCGGAACACTGAAATCCGTCGACCAATACCTCAACATCAAGCTCGACGATGTCGACGTCCTGGACCTGGACAAGTACCCTCACCTCTCGTCCGTGAAGAACATGTTCATCCGTGGTAGCGTGGTTCGCTACGTTGTCCTGCCCCGATCGGAAGTGGATGTCGGTTTGCTGGAGGATGCCACAAGACGAGGTAAGCTTGCGATTTGCGCTCCCACTCCGCTTGTCCGCACTATTCTAAAATCAATGCTAATATTTATTCTACTACAGAGGCAGCCAACCAAGCCGGAAAAGCTCGGTGATCGAAGTAACCCGAAGTACAAAGAGAGAAGAAAATCCGATCATGCTAGTTTAATCCCCTTACGATGCGATGTCGCTGCGTGCCCCCGGAACAAAATAATCTATGTGATGATCGCCACGGAGAAAGCCTAGGATATGAATACCGGTCTAGGTGGTGGCGGAAATTGAATATTTTTTTGGTCTATGAGATGTCAAAGGAAGCTTGGAAGGGCGCTGAGGATTCGAAGATCCTATTCCTGTCGATTAGAGCTGGTACCTTCCCTGCAAACAGCAGCTTAAGCTATGTCTACACGCATGAGGCATAGGCTACTTGCCGGTGCTTTACAAATTCAAATATAATTCAACCGTGCCCGGTGAAACTAGGTCGAATATGAGGCAAGAGTAATCCTATCGGGTAATATGGACACGTGATCTCGCGACGCGAAAATGATTGCCGCGCCGCGCCACGTTCTTGTCCTTACGTTGGTTTCTGTCGTCGACATTCATTTCGAGAATTGTACGAAAAACGGGGGACTCAGTACAGTATGAACATATAAGACATATAACGCATTGAAATCAGATTGATAAACCGGATCCCATCCAGCGACCAACAATTTGCCCCTCATCTGAATATACCTACGCCCGCCAATATCGACCAGAACCTGATTCACACAAAGTATTCCACATGGCTGGGTCATTTTCAAAGAAAGGCTCGACGCCATCTAAACAGCCCTTCAGGTCCAAGCAACAAGGCTCTGTGAAACGGAACAGCAGTCTCCTGAACTTTTTTCAGAAGGCGGACGGCCCGCCGCAAGCCACATCTCGACAGTCTCGGATTACGCAATTTGCAACGAAAGCAGACCGACCGACGGGTAACGGACAGGGCAGCTCGTCTTTCCGGCGGGAAGATAGCTCGAAGAGTAACGGCGGTGGCGGGTTGTTCTTAGATGATCGGAATGGAAAGAAACCGGCCTCAATAGATCCTAGTACGCCTCCGCGGTCCCGGTCCCGGACACCTGATGATATCTGGGGTGAAGATGATGGAGACCTCGTGGCTCCAAAGGAGGAGGAGAGATATAACGAGAATGGGTCTGCGGTTAAGAAGCGTAAGGTCCAGTCAGAGTCATCCTCTCCTCGGACCGATCAGGTGAAGGATGAAGTCTCTTCGACAACGCCTGCACCCGCAAAATCGCGACAGGTCAGCGGGCCGTTTATCGATGAGTCTGATAGTGAGGAGGATATGGGGGCGTTTGGAGATTTAGATGACGAGCCAGCAGTCTTGACAAAGGCCGAAGCCAAGAAGGATGCAACAGGCGTTGATAATGACCGGAACGATGATGATCGAACTTCCGATGTCGCCATACCACCATTGGTAAGAGAAGCCACGAGCCATATCGAAGATGATGAACTTGCGAATTTTGACGATCTAGAAGAGGACGATTTCGGAGGGGAAGAAGGACTCTTAGACCAGGAAAACGACGACGACGAAGAAGGACCCGAAGAGACGATATTTGGTTTCGACGACTCGAACGATTTGCCAGCTCTAGAGGAGTGCGATGTGGATCCTGGCGGTATTGTAGCAGTGTGCCCAATATGCCAGATCGAGTTGGTAGGCTTGAGTGACGTTGTAAGGCGCTCTCTTGATTTGGACTATTTACAGGTTACATGCTAATAGTAGTAGGACGTGTCGGTGCATGTCAATGATTGCCTTGATGGGAAACCTAGCACTGTTTTGCCAAAACTGAAGCCCGACACAGCAGCAATGGCGCAGACGCGCGCGGAACTCGCTTCCATTGCAAGACCACCACAAAATGATCCATATTCCTCCGGCACATCCAAGACAGCATCCGCTTTCTCGAAGCTTATGGCAGGTAACGCGGAAGATGCAGCATGGACAGTCGCGGCGGCCAGGGAAGTTCAGTCTAGGGGCAAGCAGGCATATCAACGAACTTGCCCATTCTACAAGATTATTCCGGGGTTCTCGATCTGTGTGGATGCTTTTCGTTATGGAGCAGTCGAAGGATGCAATGCCTACTTTTTGAGCCACTACCATAGTGACCACTACATAGGCCTCACGGCCTCTTGGCGCCATGGTCCCATCTACTGCAGCAAAGCTACTGGCAATCTAGTTCGCCAACAGCTCAAGGTAGACCCGCGATGGGTGGTGGATTTAGAATTCGAGAAGACTACAGAGGTCCCCAATACTGGGGTTCAAGTTACTTTGATCGAGGCCAATCATTGTCCCGGAAGCGCCCTCTTTCTCTTTGAGAAGGCCATGGGGTCTGGCCCGTCCAAGAGGATTCAGCGGGTTCTGCATTGTGGCGATTTCCGAGCATCTCCGACCCATGTGCAACACGCCCTTCTTCGCCCCGAGGTGGTCGACTCCGTCACGGGACAGAAACGACAACAAAGGATAGACGTGTGCTACTTGGATACTACGTATCTGAGTCCCAAGTACTCCTTTCCTAGTCAAATCGATGTCATCGAAGCCTGCGCGGAACTCTGTGTTAGCCTTGACCGAGGCGAGGACGAAGGCCCTGCGCCGTGGCAGTCACAAAAGGCAAGTAAAGGAGGCGGGAGTATCATGAGTAAATTTTTCAACTCTGTCACGGGATCGGGAAAGACAGAGGAGAGATCGTCTCGCCCGCAAGGCCGATTGTTGGTCGTCATCGGCACGTATAGTATCGGTAAAGAGCGCATATGTCTAGCCATTGCCCGAGCCTTGAAGAGCAAGATTTATGCCACTACGGGCAAGCAACGAGTGTGTGCTTGCCTGGAGGATGCCGAGCTTTCTTCGTTGTTAACGGACAACCCTGTGGAGGCCCAGGTGCATATGCAGACGCTGTTCGAGATCCGCGCTGAAACGCTGGCCGACTACCTGGATTCGATGAAGCCGCACTTCACTCGCGTGGTAGGATTCCGCCCGACAGGATGGACATACCGTCCACCCACAGAGAGGATGTTGGACAACCCGCCCGTCTCGACGGTGCTACATTCTGCTCATTGGAAGACGCCTTTCACCGCACGCGACCTGGTGCCGCAGCGCGGAAGTACGCGTGAAAGCGCGTGCTTTGGAGTGCCGTACAGCGAACACAGCTCGTTTCGGGAACTGACGATGTTCTGTTGTGCGCTCCGGATCGGACGGGTGATCCCTACGGTAAACGTCGGCAGCCGGAAAAGTCGGGAGCGAATGAAGGCATGGGTTGAGCGATGGGAGGCGGAGAAGAGGAAGAGTGGATTGTATCGGGTGGAAGGGGACCGGTGGTAGAGTGAAAGATTTTTGGCGAAGAAGACTTGTACATATTCATACACCGGCAGTATATTGTGGAGCATACGACCTATGCTAGGACCAGCTACATTTTCACCAGCCGTAGAGGGAGACTTGCATTATGGTACTTCGTATCTGCACATCATCGATACAACGTGACGTATCATATGCATCCCGACATCACATATTTGTATATAGTACCTCCATACCTTGCTGAAATAAAATAGAATACAATTGGGAGTCCTTTGCACCTTGGCGACCTAACAACGTAGCAAACCTACATACTAATTACGAATACATCTGTTGTCCACCGCGACGCCACCAAATGTGTAGTCGAATTATTACTGGTGGTGTACCGGCCACCACCAATGGGAGAGGCGGGAAAGGTAAGAAGGATGACCACATTAGTAGTTTGGCTCAAAGCTAATCGAATGTGCTTCACCAGTGATGGACTTGAAGGCGACCAACAGAACCGTGGGCAAGCATGAGCGGTCAATCATGACTCGTGACTGGCAGGGGCACGTTAACCGAGAGCAGAAGCGGGGGATCGGAGGCCAACATCGGCTGCTTAAGAACCGCAAGTCAACCCCAGACTTCCCGAATTTGACTTCCGTCGGTTGGATAGCCTCGGGGAAGCCTCGTTGCCGCTAGACCCATAAATATTGACCATCAGCCATAGTCCTGATGAGGATTATAGAGAGACATGATATGATTCTTCGACCATTAGAGTGATTCGTATTATTTTTCTTTTCTTTTTTTTTTCCCTGAGATCTTTGTTTCTCTTTCGATTCTCTGTTGACAGCATTCTTCACCTTTCAACAATTTCTCAGGCGTGGAGTTGATTGATTCTTGACGGCAATCATTCACTTATCTCTTACCAAACAAGGTTAGTGGCAACGGTTACCAACTGATTCTCCACGATCATCCCGTTATGGTTTAATTCTGAATCCTTTCGCCAATACTAACGCACCTCCCTGGTTTAGCTTCTTAATTGTCCTGCATTATACCGTCTTGCTGGAAGAGTACAACAAGGACAACACCCGCCATGATTGCCGAGCTCCTGACGCCAACCGGCGCAGCGTATGTGCTCACCGCCGCCGTATTCGTGTACTATATCCTGCCCTACCTGCAGCTATGGCGCTTACGCGATATACCCTCGCCCGGCTTCGCCGCATTCTCCAACCTGTGGTTGATGTTGCAAGCCCGCCAGGGGCACCGCTTCATCACTGTCGACAACGCCCATAAGAAATATGGCAAACTCGTGCGCATTGCACCCAGGCATATCTCCATTGCCGACGACGAGGCTATTCAGGCTGTTTACGGACACGGAAATGGATTCCTTAAGGCGTATGTCTCTTCCTTTCTTCACTATTCCCCTAGACAATCAACATCCTCTGCGGATGCAAATTCCGCCAACAAAACAACATTACAAAAAACTGATAACAATATAGTGACTTCTACGATGCCTTCGTCTCTATCCGCCGCGGTCTCTTCAACACCCGCGACCGCGCTGAACACACCCGTAAGCGCAAGACCGTGAGCCACACCTTCTCCATGAAATCCATCGGCCAATTCGAACAATACATCCATGGAAATGCCGAGCTCTTCGTGAAACAATGGAACCGCCTCGCCGATACCCAAGCTAACCCCAAGACCGGCTACGCGACCCTGGACGCCCTGAACTGGTTCAACTACCTCGCCTTCGACATCATTGGTGACCTCGCCTTTGGTGCCCCCTTCGGTATGCTCGAGAAGGGCCAGGACATCGCTGAAATGCGCTTGAACCCGAACGACAAGCCCAGCTATGTGCAGGCCGTCGAAGTCCTCAACCGCCGTGGTGAAGTCTCTGCTACCCTGGGTGCCTGCCCCAGTCTCATTCCCTGGGCGAAGTTTATCCCCGACCGCTTCTTCAAGGATGGACTCGAGGCTGTGCAGAATCTGGCTGGT